GTGTCACTGGATAACTTCACTCCACATTCCGACATGCCACCCCACATACTCCTCCTGCTCCTATTTCTACCTATCATTGGGTCTAATGTCCGTTGCAACTTGACTCACAGACTTGACTCACAGTTGTGGGGTTTATTAGGGAAGTAAATTGGGGAGTGGAGGAGGAGCCAAAGAATATCACACAATTGAAATTCAGGGTTAGTCTAGCAGTCCTAAACCAGATTAACAAAGCACAATTAGTTCTTCAATTACTTCAGAATGCTTCTCAGTCAACAAGTGAAAGTCTAGATTCATTTCAGCAGTACAAATAAGCTTCTGATTCTTCAAATGAGTCCAGCAAACTTTATTTCAGAGAAGTTACAAGTCAGCTTTTCATTCAGTATCCAGCAAGCAAAAACTTTAACTGTGCCTCAATCTCCCAGGTTCCTCTGGTTACATCTTCCCACAGTTACTTCACAGCAGTGCCACAGTATTTCACCTTCCCTCCACCACCATCTCTCAATGTCTTCACAGACCTCTTTCACCATCTCTCACAGTGTAAAAAGTGTTCTTTTATATTAGTCTCACTGCTGTTGATGATTTATAAGACCATGTGTCTGCAGCAAAGGTAACTGGAGACCATGCCCCCCAGTGGGGGTTAGGCAATGGCTAGAAAAACCCAATTTTCAAGGTTTCTGATCCTGTATAGCACCATTGGCAGTTTGAGCTGGATAGCTTGTTACTGGAGGTGGGCAGCAGTGGGTAAGGAGCTGTCTTCCACATCGTGGAATGTTTAACAGCATCTCTGGTTTTACCTGTTAGATTCCAGGAGTATTTCTTCCTAGTTACAACACCTAAAAATATTTCCTAGCATTGTCAAATGCCCACTGGGGAACAAAACAGCCCTCTGGTGCGAAAACCATTATCTATGAAAAGTATGGTGGAAAAAAATATGCACAGAATATTTATATTAACAAAATAGATAAACTGTAACATTTAAAACAAAGTTATTTACTTATAGAAACAGTGGAGAGAAATCCGATAAAAGCCAGATTCTTTGAATATAGATAATTTTTAATTTAGTATCTTTGTATAAAATTTTTAAAACTAAGTTTAATTTGAAGGTTTAAATAAATTTAATAAAGAATGTGTTATTTTTTAAAAAAAATTAAGTTTATATAAAAATTAAAATGAAATTAAAATTAATTATAAGGCAAGTTTAAGAAATTGAAAGTAAATGGAAAACATACATTTAAACATATATTCAGTTGATGGCAAATCTCTACACAAAAAAGAATAATTCTCAATGACATTAAATATACTGATTTGATGTGTGTCCTAAGTGGATAAATCCTAAGGACAAAAAAAAGACAAGATAATATTAAAATTATTTGAATGATCATAATTGCTACTGTAATAATGTTGATATTATTCTGAGATTTTTGTATATAGACCTCAGGTGAAGCAATGAGTATAATGATGTCATTAAGTACTGGGAAGTTCAGAGTGGGAAAAATGAGATAAAAATATAAAAGCTATAGATTAAGAAAAAACCTTGAAACTTTTTAATTGGAAGTGTCAGTGTGAACTCAGGAAATATTTATCTTTAAAAAATACCATGAATAAGTCTTTCTGACTCTGCCCTTTGAGAAAAATGTAGGCACAAAGCCAATCCTGCTACAGTGTATTTCCATAGTAGTCATATTGTAGTGATTTTTTTAAAAATTTTACATTGATTTTCATACAAAATTCATATATATTGTGTTTCATTCATGTACATTGTATTTCACACATTCTTTCATTCACATTGTTTTTCATATGACCATTGTGTCATATAAATTTAATTACTATTGATCAATGCCTAGGGGAGCGCTTGTGGCCTAGTGGCAAGAAGCTGTACTGCAATCCCAGAGGTACACGGTTCAAATCCACCAGATGCTCTGCCGGAGAAGGAGGGAAAATTTCCTCCTGTACCAGTCAGATCTGATTTGACGGTACATGCACTAATAATAATAATAATAATAATAATAATAAAAACTATTGATCAATGCCTGCTATTACCCTGTCTTTTCAGATCCCCACTAGAACCATCCTAATTCCTTCCCCCCCTCCCTCCCTCCACTCACCAAATTGTGCAACCCTGTGATTTCCCCTGTGCCCATCATCACCCCTATGCTCCCACCCCTTCTTCTCTAGGATCCTCACACATGTTTTACTAGTTAGTCTTCTATTTTTACAATAATGGCCTTATGCCGTATTTGTCCTTATAAAACTGAGATAGTTTACTAGAGAGCATAATGCTCTCTAGTCTCTCCCAAGTTATGTAGTAATTTTCAAAATCATTGTTCCTGAGTGCTGCATAGTATTCTAGCATGTGAATGTACCACAGTTTCTCAATCCATTTGATTGTGGTTGGACATTTGAGCTGTTTACATTTTCTTGTAATGGTGATAACATTGCTATGAACAATGGAGTACGAATCCCCATTTGTGTCTCAGTTCTGAGTTCCTGGATTTATATTCCAAACAGTGGAATAGCTGGGTCATACGGACTTTCTATGTTCAGCTTTTTAAGAAAATGCTATACTGTCTTCTAGAGTGGTTGTACCATTTCACAACTCCACCAACAGTGCATGAGAGTTCCTATTTCACCATGTCCTCTTCAGCATTTATTGTACTGTAAACTTTGCCAGGCAGTGAGTTTTAAAGAGCCCCATACCTAGCCTCTTGCTGCACTGAAGCACAGAAGTCATAGTGGTAGGAGAGACAAAGGGCTTGGCTCTGGGGGTAGGCTTTCAGGCTTTATCTGATGTGCAGGTGACAGCCAGGACCCGGGGATGCAAACAGCAGGTATCACTGGACACACTTCGCTCCCCTCTCACTTACTTGCTCTTGTTCCTACCTCTTAGCTGCTCTTGATGTACTGCCACCCATTTCTCTGTCCTCCGTCAGCAGTTTCGGCAACAACAGTGACTGCAGCAGCCACGAGGACAACCAGAAATGGGCCCCCATCAAGTGGTAACAATGTTCAAATCATGTGCTTCCCATATCCTGGACTTCATCATCACTATTAAGTGGGGCATAGCTGCATATGTGTACATATATGCAAATGCACACAACATATTAAAAAGCTGTCAGAGAAACGTACACCAGCTGAATATTTGATAGTATGAAGGAATTGCTATTTTCTCTGCTTCACTCACCCATTGCCATTCATTCAGAACTGAATCATAGCTGACCTGCCACAGATTGTTAGTAGCTGTAGAGAACATGGGAAGGGGTCCCATCTTTTCCCTAGGAGCAGCTGGTAGATTCCAACCACCTGCCTTTGAGTTGGTAGCAAAATGCCTTACCTATTAGTTTATCAGAGCTGCCATTTCAGAGTTTAGGTACCATACTTTCATTAGGTCTGTAAGTTTGGTTGGATGTTTAAGTGTTCCTGTCTTTTTGCAGGATATGGTAGGGTTTCTATTTGTGATACATAGCAACACTATGAATTGTCATCACAATCTTTTAGAGATACATGCTAAAAGTATATGATCGCTGGGTCTTGGTAATTGTTAGAGTTGAGAATTGAACAACAATGACTATACAAGAGTTCATTAAACTAATGTGTGTGTGTATATATATATATATATACACACACACACATACATACATACAAACACACACATATAGTTGTTATGTGCTGTCAAGTCGTTTGTGACTCATAGCCACCTTATGTACAACAGCTCTGAACCCTAGTCTATCCTGAGCCAACATTATTGCCTCTGACACACCCATTCTGATTACCCCAGTCATTGAATCAATCCATCTCGTACACACACACACACACACACACACACACACACACACACACTCACTCACTCACTCGTGGTCCAATGGGTTGGGATTTTGCACTGCCAGTCCAAATTCATCAGCTACTTCTCCAGAGAAGATCTCCTCCCCTGTAATGTCTGGCCCCTGAATACCTGCTGGAATGTGAGCAGGTCCCAACTCAGGGCAGTGAGGTTGTGTATGCGAGCTCTATTGCACCGTCTACAGGGAGGTGTGCTGCAACCCAAAGGCAACACCTCTCTGGAAGTTTTTAATCTAGCAGTGGCCATCTCCAGTGGATTTTGTTGTCATTGTTGTTTGCTTTCGAATCAGAACCAACCCACAGCTGACCCTCCAGAGACAGTAAATCGCATGGCAGGAGATTTTCCATCCTTCTTCTGTGGAGAAGCTAGTGGATTCAAACCACATGCCTTTGGGATTGCAGTGCAGCCTCTTACCACTAGGCCACCAGAGCTCCTCTGCAGTGTACTTTACAATCTTCTGAAACTGGCAAAACGGGTCAACTGGGAGTTGGTTCCAGCTGGATGGCAGTGAGTGAGTTTGCAGGTCTGGGTTTTTTAGGATACATGTATCTCTGCATAATCGGATAAATTTTACAAGAAAATGCTTTTTGAAAGGCAGCGTCTGGAAGCGTATTATTTGACTATCATTAGCACTGTGCTCTGTGCTAGACACCTCCCATCCAAAGGACACAGTGCTGTGGGACACTGCAGTTGAGGCTCACTGCTCCATAAAGGCCCCCCTCTGTGCCCTTTCCTCCTGTTGCTTTGTCTTATCTACTTTTCCATCCTGTCACCACCTCCCATTAAGTCCACTGTAAGGAGCCCATTTCAAGAACCTATGATAATTGGAGCTTAGGAAACAAAGGACACCTTATGATGTCTCACAATGTACCTCGGACAATTTCATGGAATTATCACCTCTGAAGAGTGGTCTCAGCTGTTCAATTAATAGTGAGAATATTGATCAAGTCATAGTTTATGCTCTTGTTAATGTGAACTATTGGTTTATTCTCAAGCTCTAATTACAGAGAATTTTTACAAGAGCTTTTCCTGCAGGTTGAGGTAGATCCAGAAAGCTAAGACTCAAGGACATGGAAAGAAAAAAATTAAAAGGTGTGATCCTCTGATACTAGCCATGAGCAAATTGGTGTTAGTCATCACTCTTGTCTTCTTTTAACTATAGGTATTTATCAAAGTGCTGGATAATAATGATAATGGCCCAGAATTCTCTCAGCCAAATTATGATGTGACAATTTCTGAGGATGTGCTTCCAGACACAGAGATACTACAGATTGAAGCTACGGATCGAGATGAGAAGCATAAACTGAGCTATACCATCCACAGCAGCATTGATTCCATCAGTATGAGAAAATTCCGGATCGACCCCAGCACCGGCGTCCTGTACACAGCAGAGAGACTGGACCACGAGGCGCAAGACAAGCACATCCTCAACATAATGGTAGGACTAATCCACCGCTAGTTCCGTCTGGTAGAACTACTAGCCAGTCCAGGCACACAGCTCAGTCTTCAGATGCATATGGGGCCCTTCGATTTTGTAAGAAGTAGTAAATCTGGTCTTTTCACAGTTGAGTTGCATTCATTTTGGCCTCTTGAGTTCAGGAAAGAATTACTGCTGTTGGGCAGTGACTCTCTATTTTTGCCAAACTGAAATATTAGCTACGTTCTGCAGAGTGTGACCACACAGTAAATGGTGCTGACAGACTGACTGACTCGGGAGGGAAGGGGCTGACCATGTTTCTGTAAATCTTGCCTGTTCAAGATTGGTTTGCATCCACAAGAGTTTCTGGGAAAGTTTTTATTTTTAAAAAAAGTTTTTAAAGAGTTCTTTAAGTAGTTAATCACCAGGGCAATCATTTGATCAAACTCTGCAACATTTAGCCCTGAGAACTGATTTATTCCTCACTGTACTGACCTTGGACCCGGAAGTAAACAGTGGCACACACAGAATACTGGCAAAGCTCACCAAAGCCAAAAGAGAGCATACACATTCTGAACCTGAGTTTGTGGGGGCCTCCAAATTATGTAGGAAAATGTTGCTTTACTTTTTAAAGAGGAATTTTTATAACTCATGATAATTGTGGAGTGAAAAGAAAAGAGATAAATCTTTGATTAGTTGGTGACCTAAAATCTATACAACTACCACCTAGCAGGTGCCCCACTGCATGCATTTCTTGAGATCAGATGAACATCAAAGCCTGCATTTTGCTCACTGATGGGTCTTAAAAACCCACAATGACTTTATCAAGTCCTGAGAAGCTCCAAGTAATGTTTGTTCCATTAAATAGATATCTGGAAACTTTCTGGAGTCAAGAGGGAGCTTGCCCTGGGTTGTAGTTTCCTGCTTAGATGCCAGAGAGTAGAAGTGGTGAGTCACAGAGGCCATTCGTTTCTAATGCTTCATTTATTCATTCAGCAAATATTTCTCCATCACCTGTTATGCCCCCTTGGAGCTTACATTCAATTGAAACAAACTAAGAACTGTTTATTTATTTGGAATAAACCAAAGACATTGGTTTGGTATCTGGGTATAACACACCAGTCTACACACACAGAAATTCAGCACTCACTCAGTTGCTTCTGTATGTTCTTCCCTTGAGGAGAGAAATGGGCTGGTGACTAACTCCATTCTCACAGTTCTTCAGAGCGTTTCCATTCCTTCTTTCCTTAACAAAGAAGCCAGTTCCCTTCCATCACTTGTCAGTTGTGTAATTGTCTATTTAGAGCAAGCCACCCTTTATCCTGCCGTTCCCCGAGCTAAACCGTTTGCAGTCATTTCACGCAATCCTTCTGCTATTTCTGAAAACTTCCCTTTGATTATTCTTCTCAGAATATTTTTAGTTTCTTCACATCTCCCTGAAGTTATAGTCCAAACTTGAGCAAGTTAAGATCGCGTGCTCACACTTGATTTATGTTAAGTTGCATTATAGCAAAACCAAGTGATCAGAGATTGTTTGGAAATATCTGCCATATGCAAATCAAGGAAGATTTTAGACCACTCAAACAAGGTTCTTTGGTGAAGTAAAAAATGAAATTCTCATGTTTTTGAGGAGTAAGCTTCTGTTCCTCTTCCTGATGGTCAGAATGCTCTGTCATCTTTGGGACTTCGTTTATTGCTTCTTCTCATCTGAAACATGTGCCCTCGCCCCACATGCCCAACTTCCCCATTTTACCTCTTCTATTTACTTTTATCACCTCACCCATAAGCTGAAAGCTAAACTCTATTCTTTTTCCTGCTCACTCCCGGGGTGCCCTGCATGTCTCCCATCCTGACCATGACCACTTTGTGTGGTTCTGTCTATTTAGCACGTATCACCAGCTACAAGCTCCCTGAGGTAAGGATCCGATCCAATGCTGAACTGCTATGGTCAAGCCAAAGCCTGTACAGATAATTTTAAAAACAAAGAGAGGTAAAAATTGCCGTTGAATCATTCCGAACTGATGGCAAACCTTTGCATGTCGAATGGAACATAGTTTTCAATTTTCATATGTGGTCCACCAGGTCTTTTGCTTAGCACACTGTAGTTCGGATGTTTCATTAAAACCTGCTCAACATCATGGCATCACAGACCCCTGCATGGACAGGTAGGTGGTGGCTTCACATGAGGTACATTGGCCAGAAATTGAACCCGGATATCCAACGTGGAAGACAAGAATTCTGCCTTCCACCGAACTACCTCATTTGGGTGGCAATAAATGTTTGTTGAATGAATGAATGATTTCCCTGAATGTTTATTTGTTTCCTCTTTAGAACAGCTTCAGTGCACTATTTCTTTAGCAGCTGTGTACACAAATAACAGGGCGAAGTGTCTGTGTGAGGGGAGCCAGGGGAAAGTGCTACGTGCTATACCTAGACATCGGTTTGACAGATAAACTGAGCATCCCCATTGCCTAGGCACGAGGCAGAGCAATGCAGATGATGTGCTTCTGGTTCTCAAGTGGTTCACAGTCAGTTTTCAACATTGATAGTATCACCATTGATTCAGAACACACTATGTACCTGGAAGGGAGCCCTGGTGGCCTAGTCCACAGGAAATCATGCTGCTAACCCAAAAATGTGCTTCTTTGGCAGTTCAAATCCACCAGCAGGTCTGAGGGAATAGAAAGGCATTCTCCTCCCATGTAATTTACAGCCTCAGAAATCCTTTGAAGGGATTTCTGAGATTTCATAGAAATCCTAGGAGTCAATTTCAGCTTGAAGGCAATGAGTTCGAGTTTCTGATGTGCCTGGAGTTGAGTCAGGCACTCTGCATGCCTTACCTCACTCTGTTCTCCCCACACGCATATGTAATCGTTTAAGTAAGATGTTGGTCCTACTGCTTCTTTACCTATTTTACCTAAAGGTCAGAGATCAGGAGTTCCCTTATCGAAGGAACTTAGCGCGAGTCATCGTGAATGTGGAAGATGCCAACGACCACAGTCCTTATTTTACCAGCCCTCTCTACGAAGCTTCTGTGTTTGAATCCGCTGCTTTGGGGTCAGCTGTTCTGCAGGTGACAGCACTGGACAAAGACAAGGGGGAAAACGCAGAGCTCATCTATACCATCGAAACAGGTGAGAGCCGCTGCATTGTCTGTGTTCCCACACGGGGCAGGGCCTTTAATTCAGTGGCGTGTGTCACCATGTAAAATTTACATTGTCACTACTGTAATGTCTCCAGATGAACTTTTTGGCGAGTGACCACTCTACGTGATGATGGTGTATAAAATTCTTTTTTTATTTTTTACTGAAATGTGAGTAAGATTTTATATTTCAGTTATGAGTGTTGAACCAATAAGTTTCTATTTCTCTCAATTCTTTAATTTTACTGATTTATTAAAGACATTCATTTTTTGGCATTTCTCCAGTATACTTCCCATCACTCACAGCAAGGAAAGCTTTTCCTTCTTTAGTTCAATCTTGGATATTTCTGGAATGGAGCAGAGAGAACAAATTTGGCATAAACTCAGTGGCTTTTTCCTATAGGCCAACAACCCTTAGCCTCAGACGAAAACAGTACAAACCTCTCCTCATCTGCTGTCAGGCTGTTTGTGAATTGGATCTTTCATGCCTTTGTTTACTTGTGGGAAGGTGAATTGTGAGCTCCAGAAATTCCTGTCCTCCTATGGTAGGCAAAATCTCACTTCACTGGAGGCAGTCTGAGGAGCAGGAGGAGTTGGTAGGAATGTGGTCTGAGTGTCCTTGCCCATCCTGTCAGATAAACGTAGGCTCTCATTTTATTGAATAAGAGACTGTAGAAAAAACCTCACCCAGATTCTAACATCTGTAAGGCACAACCATGGTTTATGTGATGCTTTACAGATTGGCGGCTAGAAAATCCATCTAACAAAAGAGGTGATTGTGTGAGGAAGAGGCGGGATTGTGACCCTGAAGATGACAAATATCTGTTATCTCCTCTCTTCCCTGTTCTGTCATTTTTTGAATATTCAAGCCACATATTTTCAAAATGTTCTGCAACATTATGCCTGTCGTACATGATGCCAAATGCTGTCTCCTTTCATGCCAGCACTGGAAAGGCTGTTTTCCCCGTGATTTAAATGTGGAACATTTTTGTGAGTGGTTGAATTAAAATGTGACTGCCTAGAATGACAGTATGGTGCTTTAAAAAAAGATATTATTAAAGTCAAAGCCAGCCAAAAAGAAATTGATAATCTGAAAGAATTTCCCACATTAAGCACCCACATTCCACCAGAGGCTATGCTAGGCGCCTAACAGCAACAACCAGGTGCCCCAAACTAATTCACCTATTTATTTTCCAGGTTTCTATGGAATCATTTCCTTTCCACCCCAAACCTGACCAAACATCCTTAGAGATTCTAGTTTGTATCCCTTGGTTATCACATGATCCCCCCCCACCACACACACACACACTGGTCCGTGTGTTGCTGTACAGAGGTAACTCGTGGTTGCTGTGATGCTAAAGACTGTGACAGTGATGTGCCAATCGTGGTAATGGGTACCCATGGTGGACAGTGTTGGCTGGAGCTTCCCAACTAAAACAAGCCTGGAAGCAGGAGCGGCATCCACTTCCGAAATGGCTTGCCTCCGGAAACTCTGTGTACCAACAGTTCTCAGGCCGTTCGTTCGTAGGGTCACACTGAGTCGTCTACGACTCAACGACATCAAATAACAACAACATATAATTATATAATCCTTGCTCGTTTTACTCTATAAATTAGAGGAGGAAATGGGTATTGAACATCACAGAAATTTCATCTCTATGGACAACTCTTCGTATGTCCCTACACTACCCCTTCTGCTTGGTTCTTCTTCTTTCTTTCCCATATTCATTCATTCCTATACATTGTTTCATGTCACTGTAATTGTTTAGATATAGGGCTTTACTTTCACCTTTCTGATTCGAAACATTTGTCCATGTGTCTACCAACGTTTCATATTTATCACTGGAACTATTACTTGTACACCTCTTAGATGGCCAGATGATTTCTAAACCAATTTGGAAGCTCTCACAGAGAAATATAACTTAGCATCCAGCAGAAAGGACTGACTCATTCATCTTTTAACCTCCAAGGACTCAAGCACACTGCTGTGCATCGAGAAGGAACTCAGCCCGTTTCTTTTCGCTTGCTATTTCTTTTCAGTCTATTTCTTTTGTTATTTTTTTTTTTATAATGGACTCAAACTAGGAAGAAAAGTTATTTCCTTAAAACATCTTTCATACAGAAAATTGGAACGTCTCAAAACCACAGAAATGATTGGTATCTCAGAAGTGAGCTATGATTGCATGTGTAAGAAGCTGGGGGCAATTAGAGTATGCACCATAAATCTCATATCATCATGGACAGACAGACCTCCACTAGTCATAGATTGAGCAGAAGCCAAGACAGTTTCTTCCTGGATGATGATCCTTCCAGAAGCAGATTCCCAGAGCCCCTGCACTTTGAAGCAAAGGACAAGTCGGTGTGTGGAGTGCACATTTTATTTTATTTAAGTTCTCTCACAAACCTCAGATAAGCAAGATTTGACTTTGTTTATTGGTAAACCATAAATCTTCTGCCCCTTGCCTGGCTTCTAAAATAACTACTACAACTTTTTTATCTTGGCCTGATGACCCAAGGAAGAATTTGAGTGCAGAGCTTCAGGTCTTATATTTCATTTAGATTTTATGTTTGTGGTACTTGATGCGTAGCTCTCAGATGGGGCAGCTCATGAGAAAGCAGGACTAAAAGTTGAGGAGATGGGAATATGGCTAGAGAATTCTTGTCAGTCATTCAGCAGACATTTATTGAGCCCTTTTTTTGTGCCAGGCACTGTGCTGTGTAGGCAGGATGAGTAAGAGAGGCAGGCACAGCATTTGCACAGCTGCCCAAAGGCTACCAGCAGCCATAGATTTTAAGAAACCAGAGATTCATTCTCAAGGATTCAGTGGAGTTGTTGTTGTTAAGTGCTGTTCAGTTGAGTAGCAGGAAGTAAAAACCTATCGCCATCAAGTCGATACCAATTCATAACAATCCTGCAGAACTCCCCATAAGGTTCCCAAGGCCATGAATCTTTACGGAAATAGACTATTGCATCTTTCTCCTATGGAGTGGCTGTTGGGTTCAAACCACCCATCTTTTAGTCTGCAGCCAAATAATTTTGTCCACAACACTACCAGCGTTCCATAGAAGGGAATAAGCAGTAAGTAAATTCTAGGGAAATGTCTTATTGCTTGCTTCACAGTATAGTTCAGAAAGGAAAGTAGGTGGCCCTGATGTATGAGTAAGCATCCCCCAGGGGTGTAACAGGAAAATCACTGACAGGGACATGAGGGAAGCCCTGTTGGCACAGTGGTTTCGTGTTGTGCTGTTAACTGAGAGGTTGGGGTTTTAATCTACTTGTCGTGGAGGAACAATGGGTAGTGCCCTCCCATAAAGATTTACAATATGAGAAATTCAATGAAGGGTCGTTATAAGTCATAACCAACTTGACTGCACGGTCTCTGGGGTTTTGTTTACTCAAGATGAAGTTTACCTCCCTTCCTTGTCCTTGTCATACCTACCTTAGTGGGTATAAAGGAATATACTAAAGGACTTCACCTGGAAACACTATAATGGGACATGATCATTCAACAAAGAATTGTGCACACAGAGAAACCCAGCTTTGTTGGTGTTCCTCATTGAACAGGTGCACGCTGGTACCACCGCCGAAGGAGCCAAGTCTCCACTCTCACTGTCTCCCTTTGAGATGTCAATGGGAAACAATACTTGCCTCTTTATGAGCACCTGTGAATCAAATGTTAGAGTCATATATTTGTTTTTAAAGGAAAATTCTAAATTGCTCCTGAGATCATTGAGCTTCTTGGTGTTGTGGTCACAACGGTGGCCATATTTAAGTTGTTGTTGTTTTTGTTGTTGTTGTTGTTTTTGTTGTTGTTGTTGTTGTTGTTATGTACTGTTGAATAACTTTAGACTCATGGTGGCACTATGTACAAGAACCCTAAATCCTGCTCTATTTTGTGCCAAACTGGCTGTCTCTGACACCTCTACTCCTGCCACACCAATCACTGAATCGATCCATCTCATTGAGGGTCTTCCTCTCCTGCACTGTCCCTCCATCCTCCCAAGCATAACATCCTTCTCCGAGGACTGGTCCCTCCTTGCAACATGCCCAAAATATGTCAGACGAAGCTTCAGAATCCTTGACTCCAAGGAGCAACCTGGCTTCACCCTCTCCTGGATAAACCTGCTTGTTCTCCTAGCAGTCCATGGTATATTCAACACTCTTATCCAGCACCACAGCTCAAAGGCATCAATTCTCTTTCTACAATCCCTAGTCATTTTCCAGCTCTCCAATGCACAGCACATAGCTGTGAAGACTATAGCCTGGATCAGGCATACCTTGGTCTCCAGCCTGACGTCTTTGCTCTTCAGTACTTTGGAGAGGCCCCTGACACTGACTTTCCCAGGGGAATTTGTCTCTTGATTTCCTGGCTGCTGGTACCAAGAATGTTGACTGTGGAGCCAAGTATTCAAGTAAAGAAAAAAACCAAACAAAACCCAAGAACAAAAACAAAAACACCACAAAATCTCTGATATCAAAGACATCTTTGTTAGATATATACTTTTTAGGACAGAAATAAAATTCACCTCTTTATTGGATGTATTCTCCTTTAAAAGTAAACTAATGGCTTATTGAAATACATTTTATTTGAACATGCCTTTTAGGAATGAAAACTTATTTACTAAGTATATGGTAAGAAGATGCAGCTGTATTTTCCTATGTATTTTAATGGACACATTATATGACTGTCCTCTAAATTCTGAAAGCTGATTTAATGATCTTGACATTTAAATTATCTATCTCTGCTATAGTAGAGTACTTTAAAAAGAAAGAAAAATATAGATATAGTGAAATAACCAACACTCCTCCCCCCCCACACCCTTTATTTAGACTCCAGGCACAGAGGAATGTGTATTCATGTAGGAATGACAAAATCCTTATGAAAGAAACAAAAACCAACTTGTCTAGTCCTTTTCCCTTGCTCTCCTCACTGTTTTGTACACTATGTTACCGTCTACCTTGTCAACATTCTTCAAGTTCTGTTGTCCTTCTTTTTTAATCTCTTAAATCATGTGCAACAATCTCAGATTCAAAACTACTGACGGCTTCAAGACAAAATTCTAAAGCTCTTCAGTATCAAGGGTCATAGCTGTTCCCATTCTAGATATGAAAAGGGGTTTGAGGTCCCAGTTACTAATTCAGAAGGGCAGTGTCTTGACATTTTTGGCTTCAGTGCTGGTTCAGATCATCAGTAGCTCCCTGCTTCCCTAATTGCTTAATCAGTAGAATGGCTACCATTTGGAGCAACTGCCCTATAACTTTTTATGTCTAATTGTATTTCTTTGTGTGTCTGTGACTGTGTTTGTGTCTGTGTGTGTCTGTGACTGTGTTTGTGTCTGTGTGTGTCTGTGACTGTGTTTTGAGGACTTGTGATAAAGCTAGAACAGTAGGTAAGGGTAGAAAAGTAGGTAGAAGAAATTCTCACAACTTAACAAAGCAAATGGTTACTTTAAAAGAGTTTGCTTAAGCCAAACCACCATCACCAAAATAATGTTTTGGATGTTCTACATTTTAACAGAGCGAAACAGTATTGATTCCATGTAGCACAATTTGCTTTGAGATAATCTGAAGCCAAATAATTACATTCTAGCAGTCTACAACTATTCCTACACTTTCTTTATCTTCACATAGAACACAAAGGCACTGGCTTCATTAAGAATACCTTTATACCACTGTTCTTAATAGAAAAGTCAACTCAATCTGGTCTTACTCTCATGAGGCTGAAAATAAGGAAGTTCTACACATTCTTCCTCTGTTGTTCATAGGGCTTTTGAAGGCCCATTATTTCAGAAGTGGATGGCCAATCATGCTTCCTAGTTTGCCTTCATCTGGGAAATCTGTTGAAACCTGGCTACCATGGGTTATCCTGTTAACGTTGGAAACATGGGTGACATACTTCCAACTTCACAGCATCCCATAAGTTGCCCCAGTTAAGCAACTGACAGTCAAGTACTGTACTGATAAGAGCCAGCACTAAACAAATAAGCATGTATGCACTTAAACTGTAGGGTAAAGTAACAGCATGCAAATACTCCAATTCAGCACACTGGCAGATAAATGTCATATCTCTAACATCAAACCATAGGAACAGTCGTGCATATAAATATCACGGCCCAGGACAACTCTCTCTGGCCCTGTCTGAAGCCTGAAAGCCCAGTGCAGCTGTGTCAGGAAGGGCCCTAGCTGGCTTCTCCTCTGCAGCCTAGAACAGGACAGGGCTCAGATCTATTCATAGGGTCATTATGCGTCATACTAAGCCAGACAGCACCTGACAACAACAATGACAACAGCACATTCTTAGTGGTCTGCTTGCTTAATGGTTAAGGTAATGTGAATCCACCAGCTGCTCTTGGGGAAAAAGATGGTAAATCACATCCCATCCAATTTAGAGCCTCACACTAGCTACTGGAGGGTCAACTATGAGTAGGCTCCTACTTGACGGTACATAACAACACCACCAACATATTCTTAGCTTCTCATTTGAATATTCACAATGCTGTGTTGAGGTAGTACCGATTTTTGTTGCTGTTTTTAAGCTGAGTTATAAAGTTGTTGTTGTTGTTCTTGGTTGCTATCCAGTAGATTCTGACCCATGATGACGCCGTGTGTACAGAACGAATAGTGTGTTATTGGGCTTCCAGAAGCAGATCCCCAGATCTGTCTGTCAAGACACCTCTGCATGGATTCAAACAGCCAACCTTTTGGCTAGTGGTTGAGCACTTAATTATTTGCATCACCCATGGACTTCAAAAGTAATTTCACTTGTTTTTTTAACATCCCTTGTTGTCTCTTGTGTTATTTCAGAATGCATTTGAATTCATGCAATTAATTCCTTTATATTTTTGAAGAGTTAATTTTAGGGGGAAAATCTTGATGAATCATTTGTAACCTGTTTTCCCAATTTCTGCATTTTAGGGAACACTGGGAACACGTTTAAGATTGAACCAGTCCTGGGCATCATCACTGTCTCTAAGGAACCAGACATGACGACAATGAGTCAGTTTGTCCTGTCAGTCAAAGTCACAGACCAAGGGTCCCCACCAATGTCTGCCACTGCCATCGTGCGCATTTCTGTCACCATGTCTGATAATTCTCTCCCCAAGTTCACACACAAAGACTACCAAGCAGAAGTAAATGAAAATGTTGATATTGGAACGTCAGTCATTCTCATCTCTGCCATCAGCCAATCTACCCTCATTTATGAAGTCAAAGATGGAAACATTGATGGAATATTTACCATCAATCCATATTCTGGGGTAATCACCACTCGGCGAGCACTGGACTATGAACGTACTTCCTCTTATCAGCTCATTATTCAGGCCACTAACATGGCAGGGATGGCTTCCAATGCCACAGTCAATATTCAGATTGTTGATGAAAATGATAACGCCCCTGTGTTTCTCTTTTCTCAATACTCAGGCAGCCTAAGTGAGGCAGCCCCAGTCAATAGCATTGTCAGGAGTGCAGATAACAGCCCACTTGTTATCCGAGCCATCGATGCTGACAGTAACCGGAATGCACTGCTTGTGTATCAGATCGTGGAATCCACAGCCAAGAAGTTCTTCACTGTGGACTCCAGCACTGGGGCCATTAGAACAATTGCCAACTTGGACCATGAAACCATAGCCCATTTCCATTTCCATGTGCATGTGAGAGACAGTGGGAACCCCCAGCTGACTGCAGAGAGTCCTGTGGAAGTGACCATCGAGGTGACAGATGTGAATGATAACCCACCTGTGTTCACACAAGCTGTGTTTGAGACAGTCTTGCTTCTGCCTACCTATGTTGGAGTGGAAGTTCTGAAAGTTAGCGCAAGGGATCCTGACTCAGAAGTGCCCCCTGAACTGACCTATAGCCTTAAGGAAGGCGGCTGGGATAATTTTTTAATTGACTCCAGCAGTGGTGTGCTCACTATTAAAAACAACAACCTCTCCAAAGATCACTACACGCTGATCGTAACCGTATCTGATGGAAAGTTCTACAGCACCGCCATGATCACCATTATGGTTAAGGAAGCCATGGATAGTGGTCTTCACTTTACACAAAGTGTTTACTCTACTTCAATCTCAGAGAACAGCACAAACATAACCAAAGTTGCTATCGTCAATGCTGTCGGTAATCGCCTTAATGAGCCCTTAAAATATAGCATCTTAAACCCAGGAAATAAATTCAAGATAAAGTCTACCTCAGGGGTCATTCAGACCACTGGAGTCCCCTTTGACCGCGAAGAGCAAGAGCTGTATGAGCTGGTGGTGGAAGCTAGCCGTGAGCTCGACCACCTGCGTGTGGCGAGGGTGACGGTCAAGGTTAACATCGAGGACATAAATGACAATTCTCCAGTCTTCGTGGGCCTCCCTTACTATGCTGCTGTACAAGTTGATGCTGAACCTGGGACTCTGATTTACCAGGTGACAGCCATTGACAAAGATAAAGGTGCAAATGGAGAAGTGACCTACGTCTTACAGGATGACTATGGCCACTTTGAAATTAATCCTGATTCAGGGCATGTTATTTTAAAGGAAGCATTCAACTCCGACCTGTCTAACATCGAGTATGCAGTCACCATCCTAGCCAGAGATGGTGGGAAACCGTCTTTGTCTGCATCTGTGGAACTTCCCATTACCATTGTCAACAAAGCAATGCCTGTGTTTGATAAACCATTTTATACTGCATCCGTCAATGAAGACATCAGAATGGACACACCCATTCTAAGCATCAATGCCACCAGTCCAGAAGGTCAAGGGATCATATATATCATTATTGATGGGGATCCTTATAAACAATTTAATGTTGACTTTGACACTGGGGTCCTGAAAGTGGTGAGTGCTCTGGATTATGAAATTACACCTGTGTACAAGTTAACAGTGAGAGCCAGCGATGCCCTTACAGGCGCCAGGGCTGAAGTCACTGTTGACCTGTTAGTTAATGATGTAAATGATAACCCCCCTATTTTTGATCAATCCACATACAATACAACCTTATCAGAGGCATCACTCATCGGGACCCCAGTTTTACAAGTTGTGTCCACCGATGCAGACTCAGAAAATAATAAGATGGTCCATTATCAGATTGTTCAGGATACTTATAACAGCACAGATTATTTTCACATAGATAGCGCCAGTGGCTTAATCCTGACAGCTCGCCTGCTGGACCATGAGTTAGTTCAATACTGCACCTTGAAAGTCAGGGCAACAGATAATGGCTTCCCATCACTGAGCAGTGAGGTCTTGGTCCATATCTACATCTCAGATGTAAACGATAACCCTCCTGTGTTTAACCAACTCATTTATGAGTCCTATGTGAGTGAGCTAGCCCCTCGAGGCCACTTTGTAACTTGTGTACAAGCCTCGGATGCTGACAGCTCTGATGCTGACCGGCTGGAATACAGCATTTTGTCTGGGAATGACAGGACGAGCTTCCTGATGGACAGCAAGAGTGGAGTCATCACCCTGTCCAACCACCGGAAGCAGCGGATGGAGCCTCTGTACAGTCTGAACGTGTCGGTCTCGGATGGGCTGTTCACTAGCACGGCCCAGGTCCACATCAGGGTGCTTGGAGCTAATCTGTACAGCCCTGCCTTCTCCCAAAGCACCTACGTAGCTGAGGTTCGGGAGAATGCACCTGCTGGGACAAAGGTCATCCATGTCCGAGCTACTGACGGAGACCCAGGGACCTACGGGCAGATCAGCTATGCCATCATCAATGACTTTGCCAAGGACCGGTTCCTCATAGACAGCAACGGGCAGGTCATCACAACGGAAAGGCTAGACAGGGAAAATCCTTCGGAAGGCGACATCAGCATTTTCCTGAGGGCCCTGGATGGTGGTGGGAGGACCACTTTCTGTACCGTGAGGGTGATTGTGGTCGATGAAAATGACAATGCCCCCCAGTTCATGACTGTGGAGTACAGAGCCAGTGTCAGGGCGGATGTCGGAAGAGGTCACCTGGTCACTCAAGTTCAAGCCGTGGATCCGGATGATGGAGCCAATTCAAGGATTACTTACTCCCTGTATAGCGAGGCCTCTGTCTCCGTGGCTGACCTCCTGGAAATCGATCCTGACAATGGCTGGATGGTCACCAAGGGCAATTTTAACCTGCTGAGAAATACAGTGTTGTCGTTCTTCGTGAAAGCAGTGGACGGCGGCATCCCTGTGAAGCACTCCCTCATCCCCGTGTATATCCACGTGTTGCCACCTGAAACATTCTTGCCAACATTCACCCAGCCTCAGTACTCCTTCACTGTGGCTGAGGACACGGCCATTGGGAGCACCGTGGACACGCTGAGGATCTTGCCCACGCAGAGTGTCCGGTTCAGCACGGTGAATGGGGAGCGGCCAGAAAACAACAAAGGAGGGGTCTTCGTCATAGAGCAGGAGACGGGCACCCTCAAGCTTGACAAGCGCCTGGATCACGAGATCAGCCCCGCTTTCCACTTTAAAGTAGCCGCCACTATACCGCTGGACAAGGTGGACATTGTGTTCACCGTGGATGTGGACATCAAGGTCTTGGATCTGAATGACAACAAGCCAGTGTTTGAAACGTCCACCTATGAGACAATCATAATGGAAGGGATGCCTATGGGCACCAAAGTCACCCAAGTGAAAGCGCTTGACATGGACTGGGGGGCCAACGGGCAGGTCACTTACTCCCTCCACTCAGATTCCCAGCCCGAGAAGATAATGGAAGCTTTTGGCATTGACAGCAACACAGGCTGGATCAGCACCTTGAAGGACCTGGATCATGAGACAGACCCCACATTCACCTTCTCTGTTGTGGCCTCCGACCTTGGAGAAGCCTTCTCGCTCTCTTCCACGGCAGTCGTGTCTGTCAGGGTGACAGATATAAATGACAATGCTCCAGTCTTTGCACATGAGGTGTACAGAGGGAATGTGAAGGAGAGTGACCCACCAGGCGAAGTGGTTGCAGTCCTGAGCACGTGGGACAGAGATACTTCTGATATTAACCGCCAAGTGAGCTACCACATCACAGGTAGGTCCCCAGCTTCTGTAGTTTTGACTGGGCACTCAGTTTTCCGGGGGCGGGGGGGAGAAGATGGCAGATTGGGGGTGTAGGAGCAAAGAAAGATGAGAGGAAGCAAGAGAAAAGAAACATCTCAGGAAATGTGTTGACTGCTTATTTTCCAAGTTAGTTTTCAAGTTTTTAAAATGTTGTTCTCTAAGTTGATAACAACTTGAACTTGATGTCCATTGGTTTGCCTCTCTGAGATAACCCAGATTTTTACCTTACAAGTACACATTTTTTTACCACTTTTAAAGAGTTCAGAAACTCTCTCAGTTGAATTAATGAAGATTATACCCTTTTTGATTTTTAAAATGGGGTGATTATATTTAACTCCCCGTCTCCATATTCCTTATTGCTGGGTACCATCAAGTCAACTATAGCTCACAGGGGGCTGGGTTGCTAACCAAAGGCCTTGCCTCTTTGCAGGCTCAAATCTGAGGGGGAAAGGTGACTTGGCCTAGTAACCACTAATTTTTCTCTCAATGGATTTATTTATTTTGAATATTTTATATAAGTGGGATTATGAACTATTTGGCCTTTGGTGCCTGGCTTATTTCTCTTAGCATGTTTTCAAAGTCTCTGAGGTGGTAAGGGAGCGCTGGTGGCCTAGTGGTAAGGAGCTGTGCTGCCAAGCGAAAGGCATGCAGTTTGAATCCACTCACTGCTCCATGGGAGAAAGATAAGCAGTCTCCTCCTGTGCAGTTTGCCTCCTCTGAAAACTTACTATGGAATTAACGATGGGTCGATTCTGACTTGACAGTAGATAATAACAACATGCAGTGGTGTGTATCAGGACTCTGTTCCTCTTTGTAACTGAATTACCTCTGGTAGCTTAGCCCATGGAGAGGTGCATTGCCAACGCAAAGTCAGCGCCTCTCTGGTGGTTTGCATAACCAGGGAGTCATTCAGAGAAAGAGGAACAATGCCCTCCCATGATAATTACAACCACCAAAAACCCAAGGGGCCGTCAGTTATGCTTCAGCTCCAACTCAGCAGCAAAGGTTTTGAGTTTGGATATTCTGTTATTTGTTTGTGCCCAATTTTGCTTATTCCTCGATCTGAGGGACATTAAGGTAGCCCCACCTTTTGGATGGTGTCACAGGTATCAGCAAGCACTGGTGCACAATAGCTGCTGGAGTCACTGCTCCCAGTTCTTTCGCTAACACGTCTTGGAGCAGAGTTGCTGGGTGACAAGGGGATTCTTTGCTGTACATTCTTTCAGAAGCATCCAGCTGTATTCCATAGTGGATGCACAGCTTTAACTGTGGTGGGGAGATACAATTTTAACAATATTCCTTTCTTCCTACCTTTTCTAATAGTGAGAAAACAAAACTATAAGATCCCAATTAACTTCACTTACAAATTCTCCCCGATAATAAAACACACTTGTGCACAAGCAGCATGTATACAAATTAGAAAGCACAGTTTGACCTTTTGCTGATAAATCTTAAGTCATAACCCCATATCAAGGGGTGTATTTTCTGATAATAACTTTTTCTTTTGTTTAAATGTATCCTTTATCTTTCCAAATAATAAGTAGCAGTTACCAAAATATACAAATTTGACCACCAAGAGTAGAAAATCCCCCCTCCCCCAAATGTCACTATTTCTCTAAGAGACCAAGGATTTCGTGACTGACAGAAGAAGGTGTGTTGCTGATCAGGGCAGTTTCCCAGAGGCAGCTGGCCTTAAACTATCAAAAGGAGAAGGTTAGCAGTGTGTGGGCTCAGATTCCTAGAAACCATTTGGGGGGTTTAAAGCCAATATTTTGATGTTATGACATTCAAAGGCAGAACATAAGCCAAGTGCCAAAAGTTTTTAAAGACTCCATCAATACTTGTAGTCAGGTGGCTTCCCTTTAGAAAAACTCCATTATTTAGAGTGAAAAATGAATTAATTAGAATGCCCTTAGGACACAGAATCTGTTTAAGTGCGTTAGTGGAAAAGTTAATTAATCACTGCAGAATAAGCTCTACCGTGGAGCATCCGTGTCTCTCTGCCTAGGATTTAGACTCTTCTTTCAGGTGTTATTCTTGACACTTTTCTTTATGGAACTGTTGGTTTGTTTATTGTACTTTATATTTAAATCTTTCCCTTAAATTTTGTACTTTGATAGTTTCAGGCTTTTGTGGTTAAATTGTCTATTTCAGCAGTAAAGCCACGAGGGACAGTGGCAAGGGAAGAGAGTGACACTAAGACATCATTTTGATTTATTTCCATTTCGTTTCTGAGAAGAAGCTTCTTAGGCATTCTAAGGGATACTTTTTTATATTAGGAAGAATTATTAAATACTTATCCCTAATTGTTTATACAGAGTCTTTGACTGCCCAGTGAATGATTTAAAGGGACCATCTAATCAACTTTACCAAAGTAATGAGTACAGAGTATCTTAGCTACTGTTACTATTAGCAGTGCCAACCACCAACTGATTTTAATTAGATTTAACTTTTGCTCCTGATGTAACATAACTTGGCTGGGCTGCCTCAGATGAACAAAGGGCCATTAATCATTTTATTTAACAAAAGAACTGTGTGGGCTTGCACTGAAAGCATTTAATAGAGAGGTTAAATTTGTGCATGCTGAAATAATATTCAACTAAAGCATAATTGAATCCTCGCCAGTGGTGGGGAAAAGTGATATCCCAGGGAGAACCCTGTGCCTCACCAGCGCACATTTCTCAACCTCGACACCACTGGCATTTGGGGCCAAATTGTCCTTTGTTGTGGAAGGGCTGCTCTGTGAATAGTAGGATGTTTAGCAGTATCCCTGTTTGATTACAGTAACACCTTCATCATCACTCCAGCCCCAGACCCCCACTCACTCACCCGCTCACTTATTCCCATCAATGTAACAATAACATCTGCAGAGTTTACCGTGTGTTCCCTGGGGCTAAAGTGGCCCCTGGTTGAGAACTGTTGACATACAGAAATGTGCAGTTTTCACCTTTTCTCTACTGAAGCTCAGTATGCTTCTGTTTATACCATGGTGAATGAGTCTTGGTAAAGCAATGGTTATATGCTTAGTTACTTACAAAAAGGTTGTCCAAATCCACTAGTAACATCATGGGAGAAAGACCAAAAAATCCCCTCCTATAAGGATGACAGCCTAGGAAATTCTAGGGGACAGACTTCTCTGGCATGTGATTGTAGTTAGATGCCGTCAAGTGGAGTACAACCCATCGTGACCCTCTGAATAACAGATCTGAACCTTTCCTGTTCCATCTTCATCAACTCTGACAGACTTGAGCCCATTGCTGCAGTCACCATGTCAATTCATCTCATTGAGGGTCTTCCTTGCCTTTGTTGATCCTCCAGCTTTCCAAGCATGATGTTCCTTTCCAAAAAAAAATAGCGCCTTCTAATAAAATGTTCCAAAGTACATGTGCCTCCAAAGAGTATGCTGGCTGCACCGTTTCCAAAACATATCTGTTTGTTCTTTAGGCAATCTATGGAACAGTCAGTGCTCTTATCCAACACTACATCTTAAAGACATCAGTTCTTCTGTCATCATATTCATTGTCCAGCCTTCAGGTATATGCAAAGTGATTGAAAAAGACCATGGCCTGAATAAGATGTATCATTCATAGAATTTAAAACTGACATCATTTCTTCTTAGTATTTTGGAGAGGTCCCTGATAACAGACCTTCCCAGTGTAACACTTCTTTTGATTCCTTGAGTGCTAGTACTAATGCTTGTGATTATGTATCCAAGTAAGATGAAATCATTGATAACTTCAGTCTTTTCTCCATCATGAAGCTGCCTCTTGGTCCAGCGGTAAAGATTTTTGTCTTCTTGATATTGTGATGTAATCCATGTCGAAGGCATTGATCTTTTGCAGCAAGCATTTCATGTCCTCCTCACTCTCACCAAGCAAGGTTGGGTCATCTGAATAGCACAGGTTGTTGATGACTCCTCCTCCAATCCTGAAACCACATTCCACTTTGTAGAGTCCAGTTGTAAGTCAACCACAGTAAAATATCAACTCAATTGTTTGCAACAGTAAGCAGCAGTCACTTGGACTGACCCACACCCCACCCCACTCTTTGCCTTTCTTCCCCCAGTTAAAAGCCTAAATGCACAGAGAATCACTGAGAATTAGTAACAGAATAGGTTGATTGTGAATAGATATGTCTCAAATCAGGCAGAATCAAACCAAAAGGAACAGAGAAATAAATCTGCAGAGGAAACAGTGAGAATGGGTTATACAGACGGATTATACAGACGGATCTGGGCAGGGTCGCCTCCTGAAGGTCATGTAAACTCCTTTTATGCTGGTTCTTCATGAGACAGAATCATGATACCTGCAGGGTTTCAGAGTCAGTCTGTTTTAAACCAAAGGGGAAAAGTATCATTAAGGATATGATACTTGTCAGACCCTGGAGATCCTGCTCCCAGCTATATGCAGATATTTCTCCAAAAGAACCCAATATCTAGGTAGACAGTCCCTGCAGTGCAACTTCCTGAACTACTGTTTGAACTGACAGTGACTCCAGGGAAACCGATACATTAAACCATCACAGTTCAAAGGGACACCTATAGGCAAGTAACTTAGGTGGGTCACCCCCAACTCCATGGACCCAGAAATCTGAACTCCAGGAGAATGAGAAAAGTTTATCACTACTCATCCTCTGGTAGAACCACCATTTTTGCTGTATAGATTTTTTTAGGATTTATTATCAAGAAGGTAATAGGAGTCACTTATTCAATGAACCCGCAACACAGTATGTTTTCTTTAATTATGTTTACTGTCTATCACCCACTCTAAAATGTGAGCTCTACCACAAAAGCAGGGATTTTGTTTGTTTTTGTTTTTGTTTTGTTTTGATGAGCTTTTCCCCCAAGTACAGTGCCTGGTCCAGAGCAGGCAATAAACACCTGTTGACTGCCCACACAAATAAAATGGTCATGAGCATGTTTGATGCCTGGCTTTTCGCCAATAGCCTTGTCCTGTCTTCCTCCCTCTTCAGAGTATAACATTGTATTCAGAAAATGTTTTATTCTCAGAAAATAATGATATTTTCCTGTTAGGAATTAGAAGGTCAAGGCAGTTTTCCTTTTCTCCCTCTTCTTCACCAAGCAGCTTTTGTTTCTGCATCGTTTAATGAAGTAGGAAAGTAATATTGATGAGATCACTGCCTGTGTTTCAGCATCATAAAGAGCTGGCCTGCCTCATCTCTTCCACTTTTCTTCCACTTTCACCAGCTTTGCTCTGGTAAATTTAATCTAATTGCAGTGCTTATCTTTGAACTGCTCTTTAAATGACCCTTCATTAGGGCTATTTCATACTAATGGGTCTTCCTCCAGGATGTAAACTTCTCTTCTCCAAACTCCCATCCCTGCAAGCGGGCCTCCACTGTTTGAGAAAGCCTTCATTAAAGGGTTCCTTAATACAACTGCCTGCCTCGTCTTGATTGCATAATCAACAGCTAATGAAACTGTCTTGGTAACAAGAGCTATGGTGTATTACATCCTCTCTTGAGACTAAGTGGAAAGACAATTGTATCATCCTGAGAACAGGATTGATTGTTCACAGTTTGAACTTGATTGTTCTTAAGGGGAACTCAACAAGAGATTGTCTCATGCTTCCTTCCCTAAGAGGAGTTTAGTATCTTCGGAAGTTAACTACTTTACTTTCCACACAAGCCAAGCATATGAATAGTATCCTTTGTGCATGAGAATCAAAGGAATGTAAATGCTGCAAGTTTAGGGGCTCCTGGATGACCCCACACAGGACTCGTCCTTTAGCTGTTAGATCAAGGCCTTTCATTGCACATTTTCAAAAGCCCCCTTTCTTTTCTGCTATAGGAGGGAATCCCCGAGGACGATTTTCACTGGGCCTGGTGCAGAATGAGTGGAAGGTGTATGTGAAGAGACCTCTAGACAGAGAAGAACAAGACATTTACTTTCTCAACATCACTGCCACCGATGGGCTCTTTGTCACACAGGCCATGGTAGAAGTGACTGTCAGTGATGTGAACGACAATAGCCCTGTGTGTGATCAGGTGAGATTTGGGGTCTGTCTTCATCGTTGCCTCTGCTTCCTTGAAATTATGGCTAGTGAGTTTCAAATGGAGGAAAGAAGGGAAGAGATGGAATCTAGAATGAAAGTTTATAGACCTCAAACTAGTAGAGACTGAAGGGCCAGATACCTAATTTTGCCAAAAGCCCCATGAGTATTAGAATTAAATAAGCCTTAAATAATCAGAAGGCATCCCCTCATTGTGCCTCTATGACTTCGTTTATAAGAGAAATGAAACAGAATGCTCTTATAGGATTAATTTCTCCTGTGAGTTTGTACAGCTGGTTAGAGGCAGTGCTGGTGCTGAGCCCTGGTCTCCAAACACCTGGAGTACACTTCGCGCTCTGTACACAGCATGCCAGCCAGTGGTGAGAGGCCAGTGTGGAATTGCGTGATCCTTTACTGATCTTGAATTACTGATGTTTACCATTTTCTTTACCATATAGACTAAGAGACATTACTTGTATTCTTTAGCCCTGATGGTTGTGTCCAGACCAAAAGGTCAGCAGTTCAAATCCACCAGTTGCTCCGAGAGAAAATAAGCCACTCCCCTACCATTAAGATTTACAGCCTCAGAAACTGAGTGGAGGTTTTCCAGGAGTCAGAAATGACTCACAGCTGTGGGTGCAGGTTATTTGAGAGTGTTCCCAACCTTAGAAAAGGAGCTCTGTGGATCAGTGGTCAAGCACTTGGCTACTAGAAAAGTTAGCAAACCACTAACCAGTCTTTGGGACAAACGATGCAGTGTTTGGATATCATTAAGAGTACAGCTAACATACCTGTGAGGCATTTTTACTCTGTCCTATAGGATCTATCACTACGTATCAAAATGAACTTGGTGCATACAAAAACGGTATAGCTTAGAAAGTTTCTGGGTAGTCCAAGCAGTTAACTGCTGGCTGCCAAAATGTTACAGGGTCAAATTCACATACAGGTGCCTTGGAATAAAAATCTGACCCTCTACTTCTGAAAAATCAGTCAGTAACAACCCTGTGGAACACGTTGTCATTGTTGTTTATTGTAGAGTCAGAACTAACCCATAGCTTACACTCCAGTGAGTTTTCAGAAGCAGTGAATCACACAAGAATTGCTTGTCCACCTTTCTCCCATGGAGCAGCTGGTGGATTCACATACTTCTGTGGTGGATTCACATACTTCTGTGTTGGCAGCATAATTACTTGACACTAAGCCACCAGAGCACATGTTGTTCTTGTTGTAGTTATGTGCCATCTGTAACATATAGCGACCCTATGTACAGTAGCTCTGAACCCTGCCCTATCCTGAGCCAATTTCACTGTTTCCCAAACATCTACTCCCATTACCCCAGTCACTGAGTCAATACTTCTCCTCCAGGGTTGTTCTACTCTAATAAACATTAGACCTCAATTAGCGGATGATGACTCAGTGGCCACTGGTTACATCTTTCAGTTACAAATAATAAAGTGTAACAAATAGATTTAATATCTCATGTTAATGCCAAATGTAAATATTTGCTCTTTAAAGACTTGAAAGTGTCCCAAGACATCACTGAGAAGGATATCCCAGCCAAGGATATCCCAGTAAATTCATATGTGTGTCTATAACAAGAACAGGGGGTTTTGTCTGTTTTGTTTATCTTGCCTAAAAAAATATCTATAAAATAAAATAACCTGAATAATACCTAGCATATAGTAAGTGCTCAATAAATATTTGTTGATTGAATGAACATAGGAGAACAAAGGTATCAGATAAACCATGTTTCACTGTTTATTTTTGCCTAGTCCTGTGGTGGAGCGAAAACTTCACCTAGGCTGACTTAAATAATGCATTTTAAAAGAAACCATGGCCATCGTCTCCAAAATACTAATTCTCTAAACATCTGTTCTTACCTTTGCCCAGGCTGCATATACAGCACTATTTCCTGAAGACATTACATCAAATAAAATTATCCTGAGGGTCAGTGCGAAGGATGCCGACATTGGGGCCAATGGAGATATACGATACTCACTCTATGGATCTGGAAATAATGAATTTTTTCTAGATCCAGAAAGTGGTAAGGTGAAATTTGTTCTGTGGGTAAATATCACTGCTTCTCCACAAAGAAGTTAAGTTTGAACTTGGTCTCATTGCTAGCAGGTAGTTAATACAGTAGAACCTGAGACTGTGAAGCTCTGCTGTCCTGGACTTTGTCTAGGAAGTACTTGGAGCAAATGGTGGTGGGAGATGGATGCTCTAGATGCACAAGTTTTATTGGGCTTATAAAACTTGCCGTGACTTTACTGACATTTATTAGCATCAGGTAGTCAGATATCTCTATTTGCTTCTACTGTTTCTCATATACATGAGTTAAAGCATCTGTCTATAAAAGGTGTAAACAGAGTTCCACCATAAATGTAGAATTTGTTTTCCAGACCAGACAGCAGTGTAAGGTAAGAGGGTTTCCCCATGCTAAAATCTCTTTTGAGCCCCTTCCTCATTTTTATTAACATATCTTTATTAAACATCTTGTCTACTTTCTCTTAAACTGCAGGCTCTTAAAATGCCGTTAGGCAAAAGTTGTAAGGTGAGGGGTTCTATGCACTTAAGGCAGGTTCCTACACTGAAGGCCCAGGCTCATGGAAAAGATATTTTCTGTGGAGGCAACATATTTCACTGCTATGGTATTCTAATGGAAATTTTAAAATAAAGTCTAAAGAGTGAATGTTGTTATTGTCATGTGCCATCCAGTCTCTTGTGACTCATAGTGATCCTACATATGACAGCTCTGAGCTCTGCTCTATTTCTAGGGTTTTGTTGGTCCTGGTGAACAGGAGCTAATTATTGAGTCTCAGAGAAACAAAGTCCTCGCTTGTCTCTACTGACTTTTATCATGCCAACCGAGAAGCACTGACTTAACTATATGGGACTCTATACACTTGGTTACTATTTACTGAATAGGTAGCATTTATTGATTAGCTAGTTAGCATAAAAGCACTCTGTGGGATACGATTTTTGGTGAACTCTGCAGTGAACAAAGTAAACTATGTCCAAGAGATAGCATAACCTAATGGAAATGACAGATAAGCAAATCAATAATAGTAATGAAAGACAGAATGAAATCTGTGCCCAAGAAAGGTAATATTGCAGGTAATATTTCTCTGAGCACAGAGAAAGAAGGAGTTCATATTGTGATGAAAGAGCAGATGAAAGTGTTTGAAGGAAGAGTTGGCATCAGAGTTGAGCCAGGATTCCAGAGGCTGAATCAAGGCTGCTGAGCCAAGAACTTGATCCACCCACGGCGTGTGCAGGCCTGACTCTGCTAGGAGTAGCTAGAGAATGGATTATGGAAAATGTGGTGGGGAAAGAAATTTTAGATCATGGAGAATGTTCCTTGGAGAAACCAGTGAATACTTTGGAGTTGTTGTGTGCCATCAAGTCTGAATTGATTCATAGTGGATTCTCCAGTGGGTTTTCAGAGGTGGAAAATTACACAGGAGTAGATTGCTCATCTTTGTGCCTCAGAGCAGCTGGCATATTTGAACCACCTGGATCTGGGTTGGCAGGTACACTCCTTACCCACTGGGCCACCAGAGCTCCCTGCCAGCCTGTGTCTGAGAGAAGTCGCTGGCTGCTGGAGGAAAGCTAGAGGAGAAAATACTTGCTCCATGGAGATGACTGGGCCTGGATAATATCTCCTTGGTGGTTAAGGAGCTGTGCTGTCGACACGCAGGAATGCAGTTAGAATCTACAAGCTACTCCATGGGAGAACGACAACAGTCTCTGCCAGATGATTTACTGCTTCTGAAAACATGCTGCAGCGTCAGCCCGAGTCAGTTCTGACTTGATGGCACACAACAACAACAATTGCAATATTTCCTGGGACTAGAGGGATTTGTGCTCTTAGGTGACACATCTCTGACAGTTCAAGTCCACCAATGTCTCTGAGAGAGAAAGGTGGGCAATATCCTCTCATGTGATATACAGCCTCACCAACCTGGTCGGGGGTCAGCCATGAGTCAGTTCTGACTCAATTAAAAGGATGAAAAAGCTCACCAAATAGCATTTATTTTGATCCGTCACTGTGCTTCTTATCTGTTGAAACAAATAAACAAAAAATGACAGAGACTGACGTGTTTTACAGTTTGAGTGGTTAAAATATAGGCACATCTCCCTACCAATTGGTACATGTGGATGGATGGATAGATAGATAGATAGATAGATAGATAGATAGATAGATAGATAGATAATAGAAAGACAGAAAGATTGCTGCTTCTAGGGTTCTCATTTTAGAGCCTGATCCTGTTCTATCAATCACAGACCTATACCATCCAGCAAGTAAGATGTTAACCTTGGCATGGTACAAATTCTTCAAGACCCTGCCATAGTGCTAAACCAGCCTCTGTTCTGATTGTTATACTTCCCTTTAAAAGAAGGCATAGAAAGATATTAAATATTTGAAAACCAAGAGACGTCACCTCTGGGTCTGTAGATTGCTAATATTACCGACTATTACAGAAGTTAGGAAAACTGTCCATTCTTGGTACTTTTTTGGAGATATAACAGAAATATGTAGACTTTCAAGATAATCTTGAAAAGTTAAAGATGTTTGGAGCTTCTCCAAGGAGGCAAAAGGAAGAAGCGCTGATCCCACAGTTTCATGGCGGTGCTTAATGATGAGCCTTGGAAACTGCCGTTGAAGTTCACACAGCTCTTATTTGGCAGATCCACAGAACTTTGATCTTTTTGTTTTCCCAAAGCCTAAAAAGTTTATTTCCTTTTTCAAATTATGAGACACTCGAGCTAATACCGTTGGTTCTTCCTGTGTTGAGGACTCCTTGTATAATCAATTCTCTGCTCTTCAAAGAAAGACTGGGCTAATCTGCTGCCATTGGTTTTCACAGGGGAGTTAAGAACCTTGGCGTGGCTGGACCGGGAGCGGGTGCCTGTGTACAGCCTGGTCGCCAGGGCTACGGACGGAGGGGGCAGGTTCTGCCAGTCAGACATCCGCCTGATCCTGCAGGACGTGAACGACAACCCACCTGTGTTTTCTTCTGACCACTACAACGCCTGTGTCTATGAGAATACTGCCCCCAAGGCTCTGCTGACCAGGGTGCAAGCTGTGGATCCTGATGTTGGTAAGTGGGCTGCACGGATCATGCATTTAACGTGCATTCCCAAGGTGCACTCTCCTCAGGTTTCATGAGAACCTTCATCAGCCCACCTCTGTTCCTTGCCCCAAGAACACTTACATTAAACCTCATTTCAGCTCTTCAGTCAATATGCATTGAGCCTTTTTCTGTGTCTCAAGAGATAGCATGAATTCTTTTACCTCCTAGCAAAGGATTGTCTCCCTTTTATTCCTTTGCCTTTTGACCAAAAATAATAGCTCCCTGACTTGCTTGTGCATCCTGAATGTAGTTAAAGTGCTGTGTTGTGTGGCCCAGAGAATTTATTTCCATTTCTATAAAGAATTGCATCACCTGCTTCAGCGGAAATATGACAATTTCGATTTATTGTGGTGCCCCTTAGTGCAAAGACCAATTACTAAATGTGGTACCAGTCCAATGTGGATTTTCTAAGCTGCCATTTTTTCCCCTGAGTATTTTGGTCGCGTAGAAGCTGACATTACTAGGCAGGGTGAGAGTGGGGGCAGATAATAAGGAATTAGAATTGAAAGTTACTAATAAAGTTTGTGTTAAAATCCACTTTACATAATGAGATGGTGAGTTAGAAAAGACTAGAGTTAATTGCTAGGTAGTTCTTCTGAGAATGCATAAGTTATTGAGGTGACTGCGTGATGGAATATAAATATGAAAGGGCGTATAGACAGCCTCTTGGTTGTGCATTTTCAGAGCCGTAAATCAAAGGACTCAGGAATGACGGCATGTGTCTGCTATGCTAAGCAGGCCTCTATATAATTCAGTGTCTTATTGCTTAATTCTGAATTGAAAGAAAAATTATTGGACTAATGGAAAAGTAAGTACATGATAATTAGTTGAAAACAAACATAAAGCCCAGGGTCTCTGCATATTTCCCCTTAGAGAAATTAGTGGCTACACTTTGAATTATTGCTCTTACCTCATTAGCATAATTTTCAATGCTGAAGACCAACCCTTTAAAATTCTGCTTATTATGGAACATGCGGTGGTGGGGGGGAAATGTTAAGCAGAAAAACTCTTTTGATAAGATGTAATTATGTAATATTTACATGTCCTTGTTATTGTGCTTTGTTTTATTTTCTTTTTCAAAGAAGGGATAACTAAATATTCTCAGGACTCTTGTTAACAGATTTTTTTTTTTCTAAGAGAAAACAGCAGAAATAATGTCTCTTTGTATCTTAATTTTGAGAATTTGTAATTGGGATGTATTGTTGTTGTTGTTATGCACCATTGAGTCACCTGCGACTCATAGCCACCCCGTGAACAACAGCCCTAAATACTGCTCTATCCTGTGTCAATCTCACTATCTCCAACACACTTACCCCCATATTACCCCAGTCACTGAATCAATCCATCTCATCAAGGAACTTCCATTCCTGCGCTGTCCCTCCACCTTCCTAAGCATGACGTCCCTCTCCAAGGACTGGTCCCTCCTTGCAACATGTCCAAAGTATGTCAGAAAAAGCTTCAGAATCCTTACCTCCAAGGAACAGCCTGGTCTCACCCTCTCCAGGATGAACCTGTTTGTTCTCTTAGCAGTCCATGATATATTCAATACTCTTTTATAGCACCACAGCTCAAAGACATCAATTCTCTTTCTATCATACCTAATCATTGTCCAGCTCTCTGATTCTCCAGCAAGTGATTGAAAAGACCATGGCATGTATCAGGCACACCTTAGTCTCCAGACTGACATCGTTGCTCTTCAGTACTTTGGCGAGGTCTCTGATAGCCAACTTTCCCAATGCAATTCGTCTTTTAGTTTCCTAGCTGTTGGTACCAAGAATGTTGGTTGTGGAGCCAAACAAACTAAAGCTGCTAACAATCTCAATCTCATCACCATCTATCATGATGCTGCCAATTGGCCCAGTGGTGAGAATCTTTGTTTTCTTGATATTGAGCTTCAATCCATATTGAAGGCTGCAGTCCTTGACAACAAGCACTTCAGATCCTCCTTCGTTTCAGCAAGGGGCTGCATGTGTGCGTGCATCACTCCCTCCACCCTCTCTTCTGCTCCTTTCTGCTGTTTCCCCAGCCTCTGCCAGCAGCTCCCACAGTGACAACAGCAGCAGCATTGAAAACTGGAAATGGTCTCATGTAGGGTTTTAGTAAGGTATTCACGTGACACATAATTAGTATGACATTCAATTTTAGACAATGTATTGTGGACATCAGCTGACATCTGTATTTAAAATTCGGGAGGTTTTTTGTGTTTTTTTTAAAAGAAATGTAGATTTCCACCTTCTTTTAAAAAAATAAAATTATATCAAATTCAGCAGTTCTATGTCCTCAGTCCCACAGTGGTCAGAGCTGAATAGCAGCATCTTGCAAGAAGCCAGCCACTAGCCATGGTTTCTACCCTCTTTTCACATAACCTAACCCTAACCCTGACGTTTGGTATACAGCTACTTTCTGAAAGAAGACATCTAATCTTCTTTAACTTTTATATTTAAATGAGTTCACTCTCTCATTGAACTCAGGTCAGAACTGACTTGTAGCTAACCTTCCAGCAGGTTTTCACAGACTGTAAACTGCACCAGGGGAGATTGCCCATTTTTCTACTTCACAGACACTGGTGGATTCAAACCACTTCTCTGTGGGCTGACAGAGCAACTCCTAATGCACTGGAAAAACATTGCAAAAATTTCTTTCAGCATCCTTCCCACTTACTCACCTGGCTTAATTTTAATAGGCTCTGGAAACCTGGAATTTGACATTGATGTGATCCACAGAGCTTGTTCAGGTTCTCCATTTTTCAAAGCATATTTGTGTGATGTGTATGTTCTACCCATGAGGTGTTATCACCTGTGTAACTTCAGTCTACCACTACCATGTTCTATTTATAAACCCTTCTCCATCTCACATACTTTGGTCAGGAGGAACCGATTCTTGGAGAAGGACATCATGCTCAGAAGGGTGGAGGGATAGCACAGGAGAGGAAGACCCCAGATGAGATGAATTGACACAGTAACTGGGGCAATGGGGGTCGGGGTCGGTGTGTCGTAGTCAGTGAGACTAGCTCAGGACTGGGCAGGCTTCAGAGCTGTTGTACATAGGGTCGCTATGAGTCACAGGTGACTTGACAGCACATAAAAACAACATCATTACAAGGCTCACTGTCCTAACCCTTTGTAGCCACTCCCACCTCCTCCCTGCACCCCTCAGCCCATCGCATTTCCTTTCCTTCTCTGGCTTCCCCATTTGTGCTTTGTTATATGAAAGAAATCATGTCATAGTAACCATTTATAAGCTGAAATGTTTTTCACTGCACAGTTTACCAGATCTATCTACGACAAACCCACAGCCATTACACTGACTCCAATTCATAGAGACCCTATTGTACAAAGTAGAACTGCCCACAAGGTTTTCAGTCTGAGCTGGAACAGACTAGCACATCTTTTCCCCATGGAGTGGCTGACAGGGTTGAAGTATTGACCTTTCTGTTAACAGTGAAGCTGCAGGCCTTAAAATCAATCCAAGTTGTATGACTGGCTTTTGATCCTACTCAAAAAGAACATGGGCTCTATTTGTGTGAGTAACAGGGATATTTGTGGTTCGTGGGACTTCTTTTGCTCAGTGTATTTCATTATGAAGTTGTAGATTATTTCATCAGCATTTGACCAAATTATTTTCTAACCAGTTGCCATGGAATTAACCCCATTTCAGGGCAGAGCTGTGCTCCGAAGGGTTTTCTATGGCTGGTTTTGGGAAATGGTTTACCAGGCCTTACTTCTGAGGTGCTTCAAAGTGGATTTGAACTGGAGACTTCCAGTTGCAGCCAAGCACATTAACCATTTGAACTACCCAGGGACTTGTTTTTGTTGTTAGACGCCATTGGTATGACTCTTCATTACCCCATGAAAAACATACCTGTCCTGTCCTACCCTGGGCCATCCTCATCATTTCTGACACATATGAGCCCATTGCTGAAGTCACTGTGTCTAGCTGTCTGGTAAAGGTCTTCCTTTCTGTTGCTGACCCTTGACCTTTCAAAGCTTGATGTCCCAGTCCAAAGAATAGTCCCTCCTAGCAATGTGCCCAAAGTATATGAGATGAAGCTTTCTCATCCTTGCCTCCACAGAGCACTCTGTGCACTTTTTCCTGGGGAGTTGTTGTTGTTAGGTGTCATCAAGTCAAGCATGACACATAGTAACCCTCTGAACAACAGATCTGAACCCTGTCCTAACCTGTGCCATTCTCACAATCTCTGACATACTTGAGCCCATTGCTACAGTCACTGGGTCGGCCCGTCTGGTTAAGGATCTTCCTCTCCTTTGCTGTCTCTCCACCTTTCCAAGCATGATGCCCTTCTCCAAGGGCATAGCCTCTGTTAGCCACATGCCCAAAGGTATGTGAGGTGAAATCTTATCATCTCTGCCTCCAAGGAACACTCTGGCTGCGCCTTTCCCAAGACATATCTGTTTGTGTTTTTGGCAGTCCATGGGATATTCAGAACTCTTCTCCAACACCACCACTCCTGGAAGTATGTCAGTATAAATGGCAGAGAAAAGATAACCTGTAGTGAGCTGAATCCTTAATTTCAAAAAGCCAAGGCCTTTACAGTGATTTGTCAAACCTTTATATCTTGGTTTTCTATTTTTAAAAAATAGTATTGATGGCAGCCAAACAACTCATTCTCTTTTATGCTAAATTCATTATTCATAACAAAGCAATGCTAATGTTAGAGTCATTTCCTGGGTCAGGAATAAAATAAAACATAAGGGGAAAAGATCATTTTAATGCTAATTTTATGAGTTCTGAGAAATAGCAGGACAACTGTCTAGATTTCAGCTTTAAGTTCTTCATTTTTCCAGTAAAATGGAAATACCTTCAATCCCATAAACTAGTGACATGACTTCATGACCCAACATTTACAAATATGTAAGCTTTCCAGTGCAGGTGAGGAGACTGCTGCATTCTTTGGGCCTAATATCCCACTATTTAGAGAGAGATGGATCTGTGCCCAAGCTCCCTGG